TTACTGTTATGTATTTCATGCGCCCCACGTTTTTCGTTTTTCAATTTTTTTCTTAATTATTATTCTCCACTACTAAAACGTGGTTTTTAAAAATATTACTTTTTATTTTGAATTTTTTTTTATAAATTAAGTAGCATATTGAAATTACTTTTTCTATTACAGTATTGTTGTAGATACAACCCAATGTATCGAGGAAATTCTTCAGACATGTGGAGAGCAGCCATTCTCCCTCGTAAAAGAAATATTTGGCGATGTCGTTAAACTTGGAGTCAATGCTTACTGTCACCCTGCTTTTAGGGATAAATCCTTTATTGAACCACCTTCAACTATTGTGCCATACGAAGAGCGAATGAAGCACTTTACAGACATAACTCCAATGCCTGGAAAACATCCATATCCGCAATTCGTCAAAGGATACCGTAAAGGAAATGCAGCTGTGATGTCACAGAATATTTTGAGCATCATTGCCAGTGTCGCAATCAGCATATTTCTCTTCCATCAGTACTAGTACAGAAAATGACCATCAATTTCAATGTACTGATTTCAGTTTTGTAAAATTTGTTGCGACACTTATTTTTCATTCATAAATATCGTTGACATACCAGTCTCAAGGATTTGAGGCTTTCTTTCTTTCAATTGAGATTTCAAAAATATATATTTTTTTTTGTTACTTCAATCTTTATACAATAAAAAGTATCACCTTTGACTCATCAGAAATTCGGCTTTTTTATTGTCAAAGTTGTACCTGTATTATGCAAGAAGTTAAAAAAAAAAACAAATATATATATATATATTATAGAAAGCTGTGCAATTTTTGTTGATTAGTATTTTGGAAATTTAGTTTAGTTTAAGATAGAAAATGTTTTGCATTCTACATTAGAGAACTTATAAGATCATTCTCTGAAGCTTATAAATTCAATATTTTTTTTTTTCATTGCGTTCACTAAATTGTCTGCTTCAAATGTTAATTGGAAGTGAAATTTATGAATTAATGAAGAGCTCCATGACAAAACCAAGTAGTAATCCAAAAGGATAAAGTGAATAGTAAACTTGTCTACTTGTGTCACAATTATATGATAAATAGAAGTTGCAACTAATTACTCAAAAGATAATTGATGCTGTTATTAAGTTGAATATGTTAAAAAGGAAAAAAAAAAGAACTATTCAGCTATTAATTAAACAAAATGAATACTTTTAGTAAAGAGAAATAACCATGATAAAAGGGAATGTTAAGTTTCATGATGTTCTTTTCATTTTTTCTTAAAAACATTGTCATGTATTGTACTTCTTCATTCCTGTATATATATGAGAATAAATATTTTTTTACCATTGTTCCTATTGTTTTAAAATAAATTTTGTTTAGTTTTAAAAAAATTGTACTAACTATATTCTGAAAAAAAGCCAATTTATTTATTATTTGCTTATTACTTATTATAAGAGCAAAGAATCAGTCTTAAAAATTGGACAATTTAATTTGAATTCTTCAATGGAAAGCACATAATTTTTCCAATGATATAAGTATCTACTGGAAAAATAACATTCATCCCTAAACATTTAAAAAAGTTTAAATACATTTTAAAACAGTTTCACGTAATTGATAGAATTGCTTACAGCTTAATATCCTTTGTTTTTATTGAGGAAAAAATTATTCAAACTAAACCCTATCTGAAGGCTCAATAATAATAAAAAGAACACATAAATAATTTTTAGAGCATTTGAATATACAGTTAAAAAACATAGTGTAAAAATATAAACAATTCCAACAAACTGTTAAAATACATAGTTCAAGTGTTTCTGTCTTCTTTTTTTTGACTGCTTTAAATGAAGAGACCATTTTTTATTGATTTTATAATAATTAAAATAATCATCAAATAATTCAAAAGTACATAATGAGATTTAGGTCAGTAGAAAATAAATAAAAGCCCTAATGGCTCAGGGGATAGAGCGCTCGCCTCCCAATAAGGTGCCCTGGGTTCAAATGCCAGCGATGGTTGTTGGATGTGAATACCATGTCCGGCTCTCATCGACCACAGTGCTGACGAAAAATATCCTCCTAGACGGATCATGGGTTAGAGTCCCATTGTCGTCAGGTTAACCAAAAGAGGATTTTCTCTCCATGTAACACAAATACAAGTGAGTTTCATCAAAAAGTCCTCCATGAAGGCAAAGTTCTGAAGAAAAAAAAACCGACTGAAAAAATATCAAGAACGTTCATCTTAAGAAAAAGAAAAAAAATACTAGGGAGTGTTTTAAAAAAACATAGGATCGATTGCACTTTTCTTTTGAATTAAAATAACCACTCCTAATGTGTGGAAAATGTACACTAACTGATATGTGACCAGTCAACACGTTAAAAAAAATTTAAAGAAATAACTCAAAAAGTACAATTTGTTCTACCCAAATATCATTCAGGAATATTTTATTGCAAAAGAATAATAAGCCAGAATACTTTTAATTTCAAAGTTACTTTGTTCAGAATACTGACGACACTGGATGACTTATTTTAGTTACACATCAAGGTATAGAAAATTTTTCTTTTAATTAACTCTATAAATACAATACATGAATTAACATTATAAAAAGCTTGTCTTAAAAAAAGAGCAAAAATGTTTCATTCAAGGGCAGCAGAAAAACAATTAAATGATATTCAAGTTAAATTAGTTCATGATTTACCAGAAAAAATTATAGTAAAATTTAAATCCATAGTATAACTATAATTTATTTTATTTAAATAAATTATAAATAGGCATTCATAAAGGTGAGTATCAATTTGTTTATAAAAGAAGATACACGAAATTCAAGATAATTGTAGAAATTAATATTATTTTTACAATTATATTTATATATTTTTTTTTCTCCTTCATTATTAGGAAAATGAATAGAATTTTAATTACAACCTTTCACAAGTTCTTATTCATTTTTTGTTTCAACTAATACCTGATATGATTATTTCTATAGAAAAATAGAATGTAACTATGTGTACATAAAGAGTAGTAAAAACCTATTTAGGTGGAATGCCTAAAAATATTTTGTATGTACAACAAAAATGCTATAAATCTATGTATTTAATGAACTTTTAAAAAATACTTTCAAAAACTTCATAACATTATGAATAAATAATAACCTATTTCTTTAATACATCTTTATTTTATAATAAGACATTGCAGCTAATTCTTTTTCATTTGCGACATAATCAAATAATTTGATTCAGTCTACAGCTAGAAGCAAAATATATCTATTTGATCCTATATATAACTTTTTATAAAATTTTGTAATTACCACATTATATCTGATAAAATACAACTATCTCAACTATCAAAAAGAGGAATTTGATTAACGATTATCCAAAAATTGAAACATATTCTAAACAAAGTACTTTATAGAAAAGCATTTTGATAAGCTGTAATAAATAACACTAAATTAATAAAATAGATAAATTTATAGATAGATTTAATAAAAAAATTATCCTTCAAAAAAAGAAAAATACAAATATGATTCGATTAGCAATCATTTTTATTTAATCTAGGTAAAGTTTTTTCATTGATAATTTTTTGGTTAATTTATTCATTTGAATTTCTTTTTTTTCTTTCTATTGTAAATATAAACAAATTTAAATTCATCAAATCTTATTGAAATTACTAAAGGTAGTTCTAACACTACGTTAAAAGTATTTTTCTTTTCTCTTGCCTTTTTTGTTTATTTTAAGTATAAATTTAAATGATTTTCAAACACAAAAATATACATTAAAAAAAAATCAGTATATTTCTTAGTAAAAATCAGTGTACCTAAATTATCTTTTTCGTCAACTATATTAATGACCCTTAAAATATCTATTAATGAACAACCATCATTATACAGTATGTCTCCAATAAAATAATAACACAAATTAATAATTATTTTTATAATAAGTGTTAAAGTTTATTTTGAAAAATACCAAAAACATGCTAGATTTCTTTGACTTGTTTTAATATTGATAATTTCACCAAATAACATTTTGCATGTTACCAAACATAGATTTGGATAAATATCATAATTAACAGTTTAATTTTTTTTAAGGTTGTAAAAAAAAAATGAGCCTGAATTAGGATTTATATTTGGATTAATAAAATCTAAAATTTGGATTTATAAAATCTGCTGCATGGATAATTTTAGCTTTATGACATATTAATCTATAGTAATTCCTCGAAATATAGTCCTGTAAGTAGTGTACAAATTGTAAATGTTTAAATAATGTGACCTAGTGTAGAAATAAAACAAGACACAATGCCTTTTAAGCTGCTTTAAAAAAATGAGAACAAAATAATGTGCACATAATCCAATGAAGCATGAATGATGACAAAACAATAATTTAATCAATACAAAATGCATATATACGATACATCCTGTAAAAGTCTTGTAAGACTTTATGATTTTCAATGTTTATTTATTTATTTTTTAAGTTTTCAGAAATTTAAAAGAATAACAATTTATTTTTAGCATGTACAACATATCTCTGGAATTATTAAAACCATGTCATGATATTGCAATCCTAGAAAAACAAATAAAAACATATAAGTAAATTTTATTGACAAAATTATTAAATTATTTTATTTTATTAACAAAAATCTTAAACATATGCATTTTTTTAACAAGAGTTCATTTTATACATCATATTACTGATTAATATAATTCTAATAGAACAATCATCATGTCTAAATGTATTAAAAAAAGGTAAAATTTAAGGAATATTCTATGTTTGAAGAGGCCAATATTGATAGCAGAACAGATAGTAAAATAAATTACTGGAAAAACCTTGGAAAGGGTTGGAAAAATGATAAATAGTTGCCAAAACTCAACAACTTGATATTGCAGAATTATTTTGAATCAAATGCATCAAGGGAAAATAGGAAAAGAAGATATAGCTAAAAAATTATCACAAAATTACTAAAAACTAAAATATAGAAAATCCATACTAACTGATACAGAATTTTCCTAGAAACTAAAAAACATTTTTTAAAGTAACATTTCTATTCTTGGTTTAATGAGTTTCTTTAATAGAATTTTGAGTACCACTACAAATAAATAATTTAAATGCTTTATACAACAAAAAAAAAGAAAGAATATGTAAGTACTAAAAAAGTCAGTGCTTGCAAAATTTTAAAAAAATTCAACTTGTTTCTAAGATTTTGCTGTGGGACAATACAAATTTCGGTGGATATGTAAAACTATCAATATTGATTAAACATAAGAAACTAAAATACTACTGACACTTACTCAAATCAGGAGATGCAGTAGATGAAAAGATGCGATGAAATTAAATCAACAATTGTCAAGAAGTTGATGTCGTTGGGATAGGAGATGCTTCCTCAAGCGTAGCATTGCCATTCATAACATACGATGTACCAAGTCCGTACAGATGTCCGCAGTACTTAGCATCATCAATGTTATCCTCAAAGAACATCTAAAAAATAATACACATTTCAATGATATTTTTTAAAGAAAAAGTTTTTAAAAACTCCAAAGTTTATAATAATATTAAATGAATTATTTAAGTTGTATAGTAAATTTAGACTCATATTCCAATCGTAAGATCAATAATCTAAAAAGATTTCAACATCATCAAAGCAAAATAGTGAAAATACATCGCATCACAAGACATCACTCATTTTTAGGTTATGGGGGCGCCCGAACTTTTTGAGTGAAGGGCCACTTAAACAACAGGTAGATTAATGAAGGGCCGCACACATATTTATTCCTGCTAGTTGCAAACATGATAATTTTTATAGAAACATTAGTGTCCTAAGCACTAAGTATTTTTATCAGTAAACTTAATAACATATTTGCAGAAAATTAAATACTTTGAATTGTTTGAATTTATTTAAAACTAAACAGAACGGATACTTTCCTTTAAAAAAACTTTTTCCAATAATTAATTAACCACACACACACACACACACACACATATATATATATATATATATATATACATATATATATACATATATACATATATATATATATACATATATATATATATACATATATATATATATATATATATATACATATACATATACATATATACATATATATANGAACTATTTCTTATAACTCCAACCACAAAGATGTTTACAGAATGAAAGTGCAAAAAATATACGCCTTTTATAGTGTTATAAATTTGAATTAAATATTTTAATTAAAGAAAGTTTATAATGTTTAAAAAAAATTAAAATAAACTTCTTTATCGCCTTTTGAAGCTCCTTTGGGCCATACATCAACAGTCGGCAGGCCGCACGTGGCCCTCGGGCCCCAGGTTGTGCACCCCTGTTCCATTAAAGTACACAAAAAAATAATTTTAAAGGAAATTGTTTACAACCTTCAATTCAGGGCATGATATTTCATTCGCCATCAGCAACCGAATAATTAGGACTGCCAAATAAGTTTTTTCTTATTAAAATGTTGTGTTTTAAATCAAACTATGATATTTTTCCTTGAGTTGTGAGCTTTTAGTTGACTAATATTAAAAATGGGGAGCAATGGTTTCACACTTTAAGAGAGAGGTTAATTAAATTTTGTTATTAATTTATTAGATTAATTAACTACAATCTATGCTAGTGTTTAAACTATCTTTGCTTTCATTTAAATCCAAATTTCTTTAACAATTAGATGTTGTGTTGACAAAAGGTAGCCAAAATTCAAGTTCATGTTTGCTTCGCTAACATTGATTAACATTTTAGTTCTCTTCTATGAGTGATCACATCACCTTACGAGAGGCTTCAGCTGTAACAAGAGACTGAAGACAGCTTACAGAAACTCTTTAATAATAAGACACTCAATGATTTGCACAAAATTTCTATTAATTTATCATCTCCCAATTAGCCAAGCCTGAAACTGACAAATGGCATTTTAGTGTCCAAAGGCAACAGTATACAAAAATTAAGTGTTAAAAGTACGGGAATATTTCTGATATTTCTTTTTTAATAACTTTTAATGATATATAGGTAATATTGGAACCACCTTAAAAATTTTTTTAAGCTAATATCAGAATTTTTTGAGCAATAAATGTGTTTCAGTTTTTTTATTTTCTATATTCTTTAATAGTTCTGGTCACCAAAATTTCTTTTATGATACATTTGTTAACATTTTGAAAATTATTTATATTTTTCCTGAAAATATTGGAGAGCAAAACTTTAGTCTCATGAGAGCCTTAGAGATGAAATCTGATGTCCTGATTTAATTAATCAAGGAAAAAAATGATCTGAGATTTAAAATCATACCATTAACAATAACTCTATTTATATTAATATTTACATAGTTTCCCCAAAATAATTCAAAGAGCACTTCTGAAAGCATCTATCTTTTAAAAGGGTTGAGAAAAACAACCTCAACTTTTGGACCTCAGAAGAATGCCCTTAACCCCCATTATGAAAAAAAAAATAATAATAACCTTGAGACTCAAAGCAAAGTGTTAATTTTAAACTATTCATGCTTTTTTGCAGGAGAGAATCATCTGCACCTTAAAACTGACAAAAAGCTAAAAAACTGAATTATTAAAAAAAAAAATGTCAATCAGGCAAGATGTTTCCACCTAGATGAAAATTCTTCAAATTAATGCAAAATTCTTAATTTTAGAATATTTTTTTTAATTCAAACAACACAGCGTTGGAGGAAATAACTTTTCACATTTTTAAAAAATATGACACGAATGCAACACAAATTATTTCATTTGAAAATTAAATTTTTTTTAAATCATTTTGCAGAAAAAACTATTCAAAACTAAAAATAGGTAATTAATTGAAACTAAATCTTTTTAATTATCAGTATATGAGGATTAGATGATGAACAAAATAAATAAAAAGTCTATGAATTTAAGATACACCAGCTTTGATAAGAAAGAAATAAAACAAATTTAAAATTAATTATTAATATTTTCACTTTCTTTTATACAATGAAATTATTTAATGCACTGAAATTAAAAAATGAAGAAACATTAAATACAACACATGTTATATTTTACCTCTCTCATTTTGAAAAATGTGGCACCAGTTAAAAGACTATCACTTCCAGCCTGATGTTGAGGACCAATTCTTTCTAGCTGGAAATCAAAATTCAATTATAAATAAAAAATAGTAATAATTTTTTTTTAATGCAAAATGAATGCTACACTATAAAAAAGTAAAAATTTTGAATGCACGCAGTTTCCTTGTTAATCAGACAATAACGTAACTAAAAACTATTCATTGACAGAGAAAAAGAATAAAAAAATCACCCTATATACCTGTTAGAAAATTTATTAAATATATAAAATTAAACTTAATTTTCACAAGAAAAAATTGCTTGTAATATATTAATATACTAGTGCAAAACATGCAAGGAAAAATTTACAAATTCTATATTTTTTAAAATGCTTTAAGTATTCAATTTTCAAAAGATAGTAAGCTCACATCAAGAAGTCAGGTATAGTATATATCAGGGGTTTCCAACTTACATGAGGCCGGGGGTCTCAATTAAAAACACCAGTCAAATGGCGGACCGCAACTTTATCAAAATTTTATATATAGGACTCTTTTATGTTTGAAGGAACTTAAATATTACTGTCTGATTTTTATCAAGTTATACAAAACAAAAGTATTGAAATACAAATTAAATAAGAATATTTTTAAAAATATTTAATTGCATGCTAAAAAATTCTGGCTACAATTTACAAATGTAAATAATTTCCTCCAAAATGAGTGGTTTAAAAAAGTTAAATCAGAGAATTTTTCCTAGAAAATTTCTAATACACACACGCAGAGCCGCGATGGCTCAAGGGATAGAGTGTTCGACTTCCAATGAGGTGAGCTGGGGTTTGATACTGGCGATGGCTGGTCGATACGAATTCCGCATCCCGCTTGCACCAACCACAATGCTGACATAAAATATCCTCATTAGTCGACGGATTATGGGTTAGAGTCCCCTTGCTGCCAGGCTAATCGTGGGAGGTTCTCGTGGTTTTCCTCTCCATGTAATGCAAATGCAGGTAAGTTCCATCAAAAAACTCCTCTAAGAAAGCAAATTTCTCCCAATACTTGATCCAGGAGTTCCAGGTTCAAAATTACAAGGCTACGGAGTTGAACATTAGTAGTCGTACCCCCAAAAATTGGGTCAGCTGTTCAATGATGGTTATTAAATAAAATACATACATGATAAATTATATTCACAAAATACAAAAAAAATAAATAAATAAAAAAGAGCAACATACACGATTATTTTTGTATTTGAATAAATATTTTCTTGGAGTTCTTGGGCCACAAAAAAAGGCTTTGTGGGCCGGATGCGGCCCGCCAGTTGGTGACCACTGCTATATATTCTCCATTGAAGTTTTCTTTTCATACAATTATAAAAATTCATAAGATTTATATTTTCTTTCTTGAACTATTTCTTATAGAAATATTCTCAATATAGATTTTTAATCTTTTATCTATTTAAGCACCAGGAATAATGTTTTTAAATTTAAATTTACCAACAAAATAAAGAAACTTGAGTTCAACTTGAAAAAACTAAAAAACTTAATCATGCATGGTAAAAAAAGTAACCAGGATTATTTTTTTTTTATCAGCCCTAGGTTTTTGGAAAGAAAGCATTCAACAATTCCAGAAATTCAAAATACAGGAAATAAATGGAACATAAAAACCTAATAAATGCACAATAGACAAAAGTCTAACTTTCAAACTTATTTATTTAAAATTTGCGCTTCGTTCTACCTTTTAATATTATTTTACTACCAGGCAATGAAAACAAGAAAATTCAGAAAAGAAAGAAAAACAAGACAAATAAACCACAAAAAGATATAACTAAACAAAAAATTTTATTAAATATAACCAATTACATCTTAAAATCTATTTTTAAAGTTGATCTTAAGTACATGATAACTCTTTCGTTCTACTCTCAATCTAAATTTTTTTTTTATTTACTAGTTTTGTGCGTCTTATATCAAATTTTTGTGCTGTTTTTACTTGATAGAATTATGTTAACATAAAGAATCAATCTCATTTACTTAGTGCTCCTCACAGTAATGTATTTAACTTTGGCAATATTGTACAATATCACAAAAGAATTAGTATTAGAAAGAAGAAATAATTAATAGAAAGAAGTATTTGATATAATGTAATACAAGAAAACACTAATTTTCGCAGATATAATACCTTCATGGGTCGAAAAAGTACTAATATCTTTTAATGGTTAATTAGCATTATTGTTTAAAATTTTCTTTGTTATTTTATTGTTCTTTTCTTGTTTTCTTTGAGCATAATTTTTTTTTATGGTTTCAATGTACTTGCAGCTCATGCAGGATAAATTAAACATAAAACTTTTAAATAAAATGTATTGCTTTGTATTTTCGCCTTTCTAACAACCATAACGATTTATACACATCTGTATATTCAGCATAATTCATAAATATCTGTAAATTCCATAAGATGTATTTTCTATACATGCATTTTCCTAAATGACATGACTAAATAAAATAATTGTACACAGAAAAAAAATAAAGATTACTTCTAGTTGTTCTGCGACTTCTTGCAGGCCACCCTTCAAATTTTTACAGCTTTTCATTAAATATTTCACGTCATATATAGTTGGAAAGTAGATTCTCAGCAGTTCAAAAAATTCGGATTCTTCTGCAGGTAAATTTTGGTCGGTTAAGAGTTTTAACAGGTAACCAAAATCATACCCACTGAAAAGAACAGATTATAAAACTATAGAAACGTACATAAAAAAGCTAATTTTAAGCTATTATGAAAAAAATTTCATTTTTGAAAAAGAAACAATAAGCAAAAGAAACAATAAGCACTTTTTTTAAAAACCCCAATGAAAAAAGTACCTTTAAGGGCTTTTAAAAAACGAAAACAAGCACCTTTAAGCACTTTTCAAAAACGCTTCACGCCATGTTTCCCATTTAATGACACGTGGGGGAAATAATTTAATTGATTTTTTATAAATATAAATTTCTAGAAATATGTTAAGGGATAAAACAAATTTAAAATGAAACAACTTACATATTAATTTATACTACAGTGGGAGACAAAACAGAATATGCATATCAATTTTTTGACATAAATGGTTTGATATAGATATTATATAGCACATAATGAAATGAACTGTATTTATCAACTTTTAATAAATGCTTTGTTCTGAGAAACTGCTTCCAACAGCAGTAAAATAAATATAACTTTTTAATTTTCTCATAAAATATTGCAGACATACATGTTTTGTTCATTTAATATGAACGAGATAAAATTGCAAAACAACTAAATTACTTAGAAATAATTAAATTATTTTATTGTTTAGATTTCAAACGTAAAATATTCTATTAATTTCACTCAAATTACACAAAAAATTAAAAGATATTATTACTCACCTTGTGTATATAGTAAATATGATCAAATTTCAGAAATGTTAGACTTGGAACAAATTTATGATCCAGATTTAATAGAACAGAGAAAATTTTACCTTGTGATAGTGGAATTTTAACAATAATTTTATTAAATGCAAGAAATTTTTTTACAGCAAATAATTGTAGTAAATGAAACCCATTCTTTTATTGGCTATTTACAGTTACCATGAATTTTAAGATAGGTTATTTTACAATTTTCTTATAGAATTTTAAATCTTCAGTAAAAAATGCCAGATTACGAAAATCTTATATGCCAAACAAAATATCCAGACAATTATAGATTTTGACAACCAAGTGAGAAAACTGCAATGATATTAATTACCTATGGAAAGATATCCAATTTATATTTTCACATAAGACAACGCCAGATGTCATTAATATCTCAGCAAAGTGATAAGGGTTAATCCCATCTTCATCATGCTTCTTGAACTGAATACCAGAACTTGTCAATAAATCAATCGAGTCTTGAGCATACATATCTTCTCTAAAAGAAAAATTAAGACCATAATTAAACAGCTAATTTTTATAATTGTAAATAAAATTTTTTAAAAGCTTCTTTTTTTAAAGCTAATTTTCCTAATTGCAATAAAAAAGAAAATTATAAACATAATTACAATTTTCTGTAGAAAACAATTATTCATATAGTAATTAAGATTAATAAAACATTAGTTAAACAGAATAATAAATAATTAACAAAATAGAAAGGGGATATTATTCTAAGCATCTGTTTTAATCAAGCATTCTAATTAGAAAATATTACATATACAGATCAAAGTCATTTATTATATCCAATAAGACTGGGAACAGTTAAATTATATGTTATTAAAAATCAATCTAACATTAGTTACACATAGCAGGGTTTGTGATTTTTTTGATTTTTTTAAAAAAAATCAAAAGAATCAGATTTTTTTGATTTTTATTCAAATACACTGTAAGAACTTTAATTTATGATTAAAAAAAGTTATAAATGTTTAATCAAATTAACCTAATATTAAAACTATGTTGTAACAATATTTTAGAAGCTCTAACTAAAATAATTTTTCATTATAATACATGGCTTTGAATGCATAGCAACCATTTTGAAACAAATGCATGATTAAAATTTAAAGACTAGATGAAATAGAGAATTTAAAGAATACTTCAGGGGTCTGTCTGGGTTTTTCTGAGAGGTACCTATTTTGTGAAAATTAAAAATTATATTAAAAAATCAGCACAAATATAGCAAAAATATGGATTCATCGTTTCTTACGAGACACAAAAATAAAATTTTAAGAAAAAGTATTTTGTGTAACTATTTTATCGTTTTTCCTAAAGTTGAATTTGTGAAGGTACCGCTAAACGGTAGTAAATTCGGCCTGGACAGACCCCTGTAAATGCTATTATTTTGCTCCTTCCTACCACCTCAATTAGAAAACAAATAACCCTACACTCCTACTTGTTATTTATCATTAGAATCACAAGCACATAAGTCGGATGACTGGCGAAATTACTTCGGTCACTGAAAACAATATATTTCATAGGATAATAAAAATATTTTAAAAGCATATTTAACATTTAAAATGTCTTAATTACATATGCCTTGAAAATCTGACAAGAAAAATATGAAATCCATTTTCATAATATGAAAAAGATAATCATTAAAATAAGTATTAAACAGAAAACATTATGTCTATTGAAAATAGAACTAAAAGTTTATGGATTTAATTTTAATACAGAACATTACATTACTATTTCATTAAACAAACAGTCAGTTGNATTTATCAGCTTCTAATGCAAATGGGATCATCATTTGAAAATCTTAGCAATTTAAATAAATAAATACATAAGAATTTAAATATATAAGTATTTAAATAAATAGATAAACAAATATATAACTATTTAAATTAACAAAACAAATGTCATACTTGTCAACTTGGCAGCATAATTTAATTTTCTTGGCAGTATTATTTGATGACCTATGTGTTATTTAATCCAGAAATTGAAATGTTTTTAAGTTCACGTAAAAAAAAATTTGTAAATAATGCAAGTGAAATTTTTCATATCAAGCAAAAAATAAAACATGTGGATCATCATTTGAAAATCTTAGCAATTTAAATAAATAAATACATAAGAATTTAAATATATAAGTATTTAAATAAATAGATAAACAAATATATAACTATTTAAATTAACAAAACAAATGTCATACTTGTCAACTTGGCAGCATAATTTAATTTTCTTGGCAGTATTATTTGATGACCTATGTGTTATTTAATCCAGAAATTGAAATGTTTTTAAGTTCACGTAAAACAAATATGTTAATAATGCAAGTGAGATTTTTCATATCAAGCAAAAATCAAAACATGTGGAACATCATTTGAAGATCTTAGCAATTCAAATAAATAGTACATAAATATTCAAATAAATAGATAAATAAATATATAACTATTTAAATTTAACAAAACCAAAGTCATACGTAAGATTGAACTTGAAATTAAATTGCCATGTTGTGAATCCTGGAGGAGATTTTCCATTTTCATCCATAAATGTCAATCCTAGTTGTATGATTTTCAACAAATCAACATTACACCTTAATAATTGATATTGGTAATCTGCTGTACTCCTGAACTCCCCAATCGGCCGAGCTACTACTCCAGGAAACTCTGTGTCCTGAAACAAATGAGAAATGCATAAGTATTAAACATGTCTCTTTTCTGTAGGTAACTTGATTTTCAGTCATTGTATAAATAAATTGAAAATATTTTCTATACTTATATTTTAACTAACTGTTAATTTAATAACTTAAATTTGCTATTATTATATATTTCACAGCTATATAATTAAATCTGGCAGTGGCTTTTTTTCCGAAAAAAAAATTAGGGTATTTGCTATCATAGAAACCATAAATGATCCCTAAAGAATTTTGTGCTTTTTTTTTCTGTTGATACAGCAATTTGAATTTTGATCAAAAAAGTAGTTTCTTTTTTTTTTTGAAATACATGAAAAATAGCCACTAGAGAAAAAATATTTAGTGTATAGTCTATTCTTCTTTTTTCTTTTAATGTTTTAGAAACTGAATGAGACTTTACCTTAACATAGTTAAAAATGAATGTAATTATAATATTTTGTTATATTAGAGTAAAAAAAAATAGAACCAAGTTTTAACAGAAAAATATTGCTTTTTAAAGAATCTAAAAATTTTTTAAATATCAAATGATTACTTTGTTTAAAAATAAGTAACAATGACAATCTAAAAGGCAGCTATTTATAGTAGTTTTTAAAGAGAATTTTATTTTAAATCTAAGTTGCACACATTGAGCAGTAAATACTGTGAAATGGCTGATCTTAAAAAATCATTAAAAAATTAGAATTTATCTAAATATTTTCCAACTAGTTTGTAATAAATCAGCAATAGTAGAATGTTAAACTTTTGCTTCATTTACTTAAAACTTCTTTTTTTGAAAATTGCATTTTACTTTTAAATGGACAAACATACAAACTACTCAAAAGGATCTCTAAAATACAAAGGTCCCACTTACTTTCAAAATTTTTTATCAGTTTTCATATCAGGTTCAAACAATTTTTGTGTATATATATATGTGTATATAAAAACACAGATAAGAAAAAAGTATCAGGTAAGAAACAAGTTTTATAGCAAGTAGACACAAATATCATTTTATATAAAAAAATTTCTCTGGAGATCCATAAGCAATTTTTTGTTTTAATTGATAAAACAAGAAGCACAGTAGTTATTTTACTTCACAATGTCCAAGAAAAAAAAAATTATTTCTCAGAAGTTAAAATTGCATTTTTCTGTAAATTTTAAAAGTAAAGAATGAGATGGTTTGTAAAATCCTTTTGTTTTAATACATTAAAGTAGAGCAAATTCAAGAGACAAATAATTTTACATAAATTGGACAATCATGGTAACACTGACGTGGACAATAAGAGAAAGAATAAAAAAGCACTGAACACTTTCAGAATGCTTTTCATGGTTTTTAAAACTACAATGTTTGAATATGAAATTGTTTATTCATATTTAAAATCAATTAAAAATTTAAAGATTCTATTCAATTAAAATTTTAAAGATTCAAAGCAACAGTGAAATCTGTTTCACTACTTGACAATGAAACAGCGAAATCAACAAAGCAGATGACAAAAACAACAAAATAGAAGCCTTTCAAACAAAATAAACAACACAACATGGATCTATACTATAAATCCAGTACCAAGCTATTAAGAATAGATTTTAAAAAGATAAGTTAAAACGAAATCAGGCACAAATTGAGAAAATATGCCATCACAAACAGAGAATCGCATTAACTTGGTCATCAGAAGGAAAGAAGAGAAGGAAGCCAAGATCAACATGGTCAAGTATGGTGACCAATGAGAAAAACAATTTCAATTAGCAAAGTTGAAATGTTACCACAAGTAACACCCTAGATAGGAGAGGATGGAGGACAAAAATCTCATAAAGAACTTCCTGGCAAGGATAATGTATCGACAGTTATGAATAATACACTTTCAAGGTCCTTAACTCAAATTATTCAAGGACCCATACAGTATTACAGTTAATATACAAAAGTATACGTCAACCAGATTTTATAATTTCGTCAAAGCAGAAATTGTATATTTTCAAACACAATGCTTATTTGACAAAATAATAATATTAATAGTAATTTTATTTATCAGCTTCTAATGCAAATGGTTGACAACAGGGTTGGCAAGTTTTTGACACATGACGGTTTTTACCGGTTTATACCATGGTTTTTACCGTCATGTCAAAAACCCCTGTCAAAAATGTCAAAAACCCATAGTTTTGGTAAAACTGTATTTTTATTTGAGTTAAACTGCTTATAATTTAAAATTAATTCATTTTTGGGCAATAAAATTAGAAAAAAAGTTGTTAAAAGATATTTAAGAATAGATTTTTCCATTTTCCCAACATGATTATATCAAAACATACTACCATTTGAAGCAAAATAATAGGATACTAAACAAAATTTTCAACATTTCCAAGCATCATTTTGTTTGGCATATTACATTACCGAAGAATGTCAAGTCATTCTTGACTTAGAGTTTGTAGAAGTTACAAGTTTTGAAAGTTTTGTTTATCTTATTTCTAATATTTAAGAAATGCCAAATCTTAAATTCTTCTTTTCAGTTCTTGAATTTATTAATAGTTCAAAGCTTTTTTGTTTGTTTGTTTATTTCTAATAATTAAGAAGTGCAAAATTTTGAATCCTTCGCAAATCAAGCTATAATGATAAAAGTAAGTATCACTATTTTCAATAAGTAGGGTGACCCGGGGTAATTCACGATCACTCTGTTTCTGGGGTAAATAATGATCACCTAAGTTTTATCTTAAAAAAATGATTTTTTTTTAAATTTAAGACATGGGCAAGAATGCTTGTACACTTTATTAGAGTATAACTACATTTACTTAATAATAATTTTTTGTTTAATCTAACAAAATAAGTATCTTTTAAACTGCTTTCTGTATTTTCCATTTCAAAGATGGGTTTCAAAATGTGCACATTTCTGCAAAGATCCCCCTCCTTCTCTTAATAATAAATATTTTGAGTCACTTTCTTTTTCTTTGATATAAAAGTAGTGTAAGCTTTTGTTTAATTGTTTCACATCTACTGTAAACATTATAATTGATTATAGGAAACTATATCAAATGTTGCCCCCTACAGATGGGGTAATTATTGATCACTGGGGTAATTCCTGATCACTGTCATTTCTTCTTATAAATAGTATATAAAATAGCTAATAAATAGCTAATTGTCTTTTCTTAAATAACAGTTCATATTTATTAAGTGGAACAACTATAAAATATATTTTAACTGTCATCACAAAATTTGTTTTTAACGGTATACAAGACTGTATTCTGATTTGCACCATTTCTGGTTTGTCATACCTTGCTTCTATCTTAATTTTATGTGTGTACATTGTTAGAATAATTTTTAAGTTTATAAATTAGCTTAGTATAAATATGGTGAGAAATTATTAGCCTAAAAAGGATACTAAGCTTCTAGAAAGCAAAATTAGTGAATTTCTTTTAATGATTGAAAATGAAAATTTCAATGTGAGAGCTGCTGCCAGAGCTGTTGAGTTGACATACCTTACTTTACTTTACACTTTCACTTAATGAAGTTAAAAAATCCAGCAAAAGTAACCCATGAGGGAACTCTCTTATATTTCAGCAGAACATGAGAATGAGTTGGCTGATTGCCTAAAATGTATGGCATGATGCAAAGATTTTTGGAAAATTTAAAGTGTTAATCTTTCTTCTTGCTTTTAAATAAATAGTTTTATTAGCTGCTTAAACATATCTTTTTGGTTTATTTGTTTGATCTTGATGTCTTATTTGTTAATTACCATTATATAATTATTTTTAAACAGCCCCTTTACAATAAAAACTGGTGATCAGTAATTACCCCAGAAGTGATCAGGAATTACCCCAGAAATGATCAAGACCAGGGGTAATTCCTGATCACTAAAAACTTAAAATCTTTTAAATTCTAATTAGATTTTCAAACAAAAGAAGGTGGCATTGGACTCATCTCATATAGCCTCAAACTTCCAATAAATATTAAAACTCTATTTTGAATAGTTTTTTCACAAAATAGATGTTTGCGCTTTTTGATCAGGAATTACCCCAGGTCACCCTATATTACAATATTTCTATATGAATGTATATCCTTCTATAAGAATACATGTATATAGTTGCAAAATCAATAGCAATCATTTACAACATTCATTTATGAAGGCAATTATGTGAAAATAATATACTATCCGCTATATGCCATAAATTAAAGAAAACAGTAGGCTTTTGATGGTTTTTACCGGTAAAAACACGGTTTTTACCACTGTCATGTCAAAAACCAGTTTTTGACAGCAAAAACCCAACTCTGGTTGATAATTATATTGCTGCTTCAAATCACTTTGAAAAATTCCAATTGACATAAAGCGTGATTAGCACTAAAGCGTGATTTTAAAATTTTATGAACATGCGTAATTTTTAAAAATCACATTTATGCAAATCTAGATATATAATATATGTAAATCAAAATTACAAAAAAGGTGAAGTAAGTCCTGAAGATTGCATAAATCCCGCATCACAATTTGCAAATTGAAATCAAATTGCGGAGCATGTTTCTTAAATCGGAACAATATGAATAGCAAATGTTACAAAATGTAGGAGCTAACAAGATGTATATCATGATGTGAGATAAATCACTTTAATGTGAATTCTGTTACATGATTAGCTAATAATTTTCATGTGAATAGTGATCATTTTGATGTGACTCGAAAGTTGCTTAATTTAGAACAACTCTGTGTGATTCATAAATCATTTGGATGAGAATTGCAAGCATTAATTCTTAAATCTCTTTTAAGTGAATCACGATGCGTAAATCTTAAATCCTTCTAATACCATATAAACTACTTGAATGAGAATTGTGATGCACGATTCTGAAATTGCTTAAATACGTATCAAGTTACATGATTTAGAAATAACTTTAATTGAAATCATGATGCTTGTTTGATAAATCATTTTAATGTGAATCATGATGTGTGATTTATAAAATACCTTAATACGAATACTGATGAGTAATTTGCAAATCACTTTAAAGCAACATTTGATATATCATACATTAATTACTTTCTTTATATGAATTCCGATCCATAAATCAAGAATCAGTTTAATGTGAATCACGATTTTTATTCATAATTCATGAAATCTAGAACTAAATGTAAAAATCTGATTTTGTCTACAAATTAATGATCCTTCTTACAAAAATTAAAAAAACTAATAGGATAACAGTATTAACATGTCATAATAATGAAGTTAACACATTGGACAAATTTCTAAATCGAGGAAACGCTAGTTATCATTCAGAAACTATGACTACAAAAACTAAAATTTGTAAGAAATTTTTAGCTTTCTAAACATCAGAGATGAACAATAATCTGGAGTGAAAAATCTAGGAGAGAAAAATTTCGTATCCTCTTTGACCTCTTTACACTTCAGGATCAAAAATTGCATATACCAGAATTTCTATAATTTTCGTTTGAAATTATTTATTATTTTTTTGCTGCATTTTTTATCAAAAAGATAAGTATTATTTTAATTCCAAAAAAAATCCAGTACTTTTTAAGTACTCTATGACAGAATTCAAGGACTTTCAAGTACTGTGGGAACCCTGTTATTATACTGTTATGAACATACACTCAATAAAAGATTTAAAAACTTATTGATGACTAATTTTTTACGGATATTTTTCTTATTTTTGTTGGTTTTGAGAAATATCTCTACTTGGGAAAACTTAAAATACATCATAGATTACCAAAGCCCATCAAAAAATTTGGGGATTAAATTTGGAAACTGTCATAAATTTGAAATAAAAGTTCACACAACACAGATAAAATAATTATTGGCAAAGTTGAAAAGTGAGCTGATATAAAAATTAATTAGTTTTGTTATAACTTTAATTAGTTTTGTTTCTAATCTAATAAATCTTTACTTACCATGGCTACATATTGGTATTGTTGAACAACTTGACGGATTATCCTAAATTCATCCTCCATATTATGTGCCCACACATCACGAATACCGCACTGCTCATTTCGATCTTGAAGAGAATTACTGTTAACTGTTACAGGGCCAGATGCAGTAGGCATTATTCATATGCACTCAATGATTAAAACACAATTATAAACAATGATGAACTATTTAGATACTTTTCTTAACGTACATGTCCTAATGAACAAAATCTTTGCTTTCCACAGCTGAAAATAAAAATGATAAATAATATATAAAAAAGAAACTTTCTTAAGAAAAAAAATAAGAAATTATTGAAGAAGTTCAAAGGTAAAACTAATATATTTAAACACATTTTATATCTAAGGTAAATTAGTATCTCTCAATTCAAAATAATCAAATATTACACTACATCGCTAGTCAGCTAAGAAAAAATTTGTTTACAATTTAGTAATTAAAATATTAAATAGTAATTTGCAAAAATCATTTCTTTTTTCTCACATGAAATCTACTTAATTCAATAAAAACACACTAACAATTTATCGAAATCAATATCCCATCATTTCTAAGTTCATTAAATTTCTATAGTTTCGCTTTCAATCCAAATAAAATATAATTCAATATAATCTTTAAGGTCAAGTCGACCAGATGATACATAAAGAATGTTTTTTATACGTTTCACGACATACGAGATGACAAATTTTCAGAAAAATTTCTTTATCGCATACCGCGTACAAATTCTCCAAATAGAATGTATCATACTTATACAAAAACAACTAACTTTTCACTTACGATCTTATAACAGGCTTTTTAAGTCCAAGAAATCTACTTGTACACCAATAACTTAAATCTAAACACAGTGATTTCTTTGAGATCATAAGGTTACAAAGAATTGATATAAATTTATTATAAACAAAATTACATTATATAAAGTGCGAAATAGTTGATATACGAAGCAATATTATTTCCAATCAAATAAAATTGATCAAATCACCTAAACAAGATGTAGAGTAGACAAGACATGCAACCAGTTATTGCCATTTAATTTCAATAATATAATCGGGATTGCCATTTAAATTAAAATAAATATTTTTGTAGGATCAGTGCCTTGCTTTTGCGATCCCTAACTTTTAATCTAACGTTAATGATATATTTTTTCATATATTATATACTTCTACTTCAATCGCTTGTCAAATATTTCTTTTATTTTTAAATTTATATCATTTTAGATTCACCTTTTTTTAAATTTTATGAACAATTTCACTTCTTTCGTAAGAAAATTTGAGTTAACTTATATTAATGAAGTTCTGAATAAATTGATTATTTAATGTCAACGATTATTAAGTAGTTTTTTTGTTTTGTTTTACTCAAGTTAAAAAATTGTCAGATTATTTTCCCCTTTGTCCCTTACATTTAAAATGGGAGAATTATACGATTTTTTAAAGTCATTTTCCCTATTATTTGGAAGAACATAAAATTAAAAATGTCTTAAAAAAAATCGCCGAAATAAGAAGGGCGATTCTGCATTTTTACCAGTATCTCCATTGTTTCTTTTTTTTTTTTTTTTTTTATCTGTTCCGTAGTGTTTTTAGTTTGTTTTTCTTTTATTGATGTATTGAATTTTTATGTGACTGAAAAAAATGAGTAACGTATTTAAAATTGATTGCTTGTTTGAAGATTGCATTGTAATCACATTGCCATAGGTAAAATTCTGCAGTGTTATTTATGGAACAGCTATCGTAAATATAACTATATACCTACTACTTTTAATTGGGCTTAAACTTTATGTGAATAAAAACTAAAAGTTGAAGATGAGCGAGATATTTAAGGTGCTAAATAAATGTCAGTAACTGTTCAAAATTTACAATTATTTCTGAACAACTAAAGAATATTTCATATTTGATAAGTATGAACTATTAAATTACTTCTCTAAAGTAGATACCTTAAAAATGTCTTTATTCGTATCAGTACCATTTTAATTGCTAGGTTTTGATGACAACCAGTTAAAAAAACATCTGAAAAGGGACTAACACATAGTAATTTATAATCACTTGTGAATGCCATTATATTTTTTTTCCTATTATATTTATTATATCATATTTTTTCTTATTATATCTTACTGCAAGTACAAGAACTGGACAGTATATATCCAATGTACCTACTTCTTATATTGATTTTAAAATTAAAGTTATTTTATTTTACAATCTTCTTTTTTGCTTTTAAAAAATTTGGGTAGATTTCTGTATTGTGATTTGCGGCAAAATATTTGCCAAGTCTTGGCAATTTCCAGGCAGCAGCCCCAGGGTGCGTAGCATTTGTAAAAAGTACTTAAAGGTTGCTTTTTGGGGGATTTCATTTTTAAAAGCTTTTAAAGGTGCTTTTTTCAGCTGGCGTTTTTTTCTAATAATTTTCAAAGTGCTTTTTTTTTCTAATAATTTTTTTTCTTTCCTTCAGTCATATCTGGTGGATCTCATGCATTTCACGAAAAATGGGGAGTTTGCTGCGTAATCATTCACGCGGACTTCATGTTGTACCCACGTTATGACTTGCGCATGCGCGCACACTTGAAACCAAAACCCGAGTGCTCCAATTCGCATTGAGAATATCAGATCCCTATGAAATGTTTTCCTTTTTAATTTATTTTAATTTTGTTCTTGTTTATATTTTACTTCTAACACTTTTTTTGATGTAGGGGTAAAGGTTTTGTTCAGGGTCAAGTTGAATTCACTCGGTGATGTGGGAAAGTACTGATTGTTTCGATTGACGCCCGTTTCTTTTTGGGGTTTTTGTAACGCTAAAACTTTATAAAAAGTTTTTGTTTTTCAATAATATCATTGATTGAATATGAATTTTTTGAGTGCTTGAAAAGTTTTTAAAATTGCTTATTTTTGATTCTAAGATTTGGCTACGCACCTTGTGTAAAACCCAGCACTGTGTTAATAATATTATGATTTTCTTTAAAATTAAAAGTATCTTATGTTGAATTTTATTTTTAGGAAATTTACCTCTCTGTAATAATATGAAATAAAGATTACAAAACTGCAATTGAGTACTTATATAAATCAGTAAAAAGAGTTACAAAAGTGGTAAGTTATAAAATGTTTTATTATTCAAACATTTTTGTGTTAGAATTTCTTGAAAATAAAATTTTGCTTTAAGTAATTATTATTTGTCAAAAATATAAAATGCTTTAGTATTAAACAGGATGTGTAGTGTTTTTAAAAAGTACTTAAAGGTGCTTATTTTCGTTTTTATTAAAAGCCCTTAAGGATGCTTTTTTCATTGGGTGGTTTTAAAAAGTGCATAATTTTCCCTTTTACAAAATAAGATTTTATTCGAATTATGCAAAATTGAGCTTCAAATTATGCAAAAAGTCGCAGTTCACATTGCTCTATTCAACGTTTTTATAATTTATTCAACCCCAATCTATTTCATTGTATTGTCAGTCCGTAGCGTATGAAAACATCATTCATTTCACATGATTCAAAATTTCATGATTTTTGACTATTGTCAAAAAAAATTCAAAACTTTTTTTTTTTGACATGACGGTTAGAACAAGATAAAAGCGTCAATTATCAAAATTTTCCAACCCTGCCTAATTATATATTATAAAATATTTTTTGGTGCTTGAAAAGTGCTTATTTTTTGTTCAATTATTTGGCTATGCACACTGTTAAAAAATAAAAAGAATTTTTCGTGGCAAAAACTGGATGAGTTCTGCCACAGGCAGTCGTCCTCTCTTTTTATGTAAATAAATGATTTAGTGTTATATAAATAGTTAAATATGGAAAATAGATGACAATGTTGAGCTTCTGAAAGTTGTGAATTAATTTTAAATTTTTAAGTGTTATTTTTTCTTATAGAAATATTTTAAATAGTGAAAAAAAAATTTTTCCAAAATAAAGAATTCTCTAAGTCATTTTGTGAAAACTGTTATTGTTACAAAGTTTACAACTTAAAATTTAAAGAGATACAGAGTATCATCTCTAATATTAAACTAAAAAGGTTTGTATTGTAACCAATCCAAAATAATAATAAAAATAGATATTTTTAAATGTTTTTTTTCTTCCATGTATTTAAGGAATAATGTACTAAATACATTGTTTATGCATGTTAATGAATTAAACGAACTTGCTAAATTATTGAATAGATTTAGAAGCAAAACTAATTGTGAAATCAATAAAGTTATAGTTAACTCTTATGAATGTGTTTTTCATAACTATTTAATTTATTTTATTGATTAATGAATCTATAAAATAAGTAATTATTAATACGAATGCATACTATATTATTTCAAATTATATTATATTCAAAATAAACTGTGGTTCATATTATATAAAGATTTTTTATTATTAATTACTTTTCATTTTGTAATAATTTTTTTTTTTTTTTCCTTCTTCCAACTTTCAATATTCTAGTTTTTCCATGTTAAATTGATATTTTAACTGCACTAGTTGTTTATTAAATTCTAAAATTCTTTTTTTAAAAATTTGAAAGATTTTATAAATGATTTTTTTTCTTCATTTATTTATAGTATTTTAGTGTATATACATTTGATTTATGCATTTTTATAATTAGGTTGTAACCATCTGTGCTACTTTAGTTTTCTGAACCTAATTACTTAATGTAAATGGTTAATTAAAAGTACAAAAGTAGTTTTTTTTAAATGCTATTTACTTCTTTAAATATTTTAATGTCGGAATTTTTTTATCAAAATTTTTTATTGCTCTATGGTTTTTTTAAAAATTAAGTTGAAGGAATTAGGTATTTTATTTTTCTCATTTTATTTTGAAGGGTAATTACAGTTGGTTTTTATCACATTGGCAGTAATTTGTTAATCTTGACTGTAATACCGGAGGAAATTCTTAAAACAGGGACAGTAACATTGTTTACTTTTAGTTAATGTATTACTATAAGTCCCCATGGTGCAGTAACATTGTCTCAGAACGTTACAGAGTTCTTGCAGAAAGATTTTTCATTTGGGAAGCAAAAAAGTCTAGTTTTCTTTTCTGCAGTTTTTTTCAAGATGTGTTTTTCTTTTTCTGCAAAATTATTTTTAGACAATAACTTTCTCGCATTTTAGGGGAGGGAAAGAAATGCTCCTGATTTTTCTATTTGAGAATAAAAACATTCTGTAAGGACTGGCTCCAGTTATAATTTCAGTTATAATTTCAAATGAATGTCCCAACAAAACATGTGTTTCAGTAACCTCTTCTTTAACTGTCTGTTTCACATGGTTTTGTCAATCTTTTTTCCTTCAGTTACTGCCACGAAATTTATGATTTTTAATTTTTTTATATGATGAGATGTGCAAAATGCAAAAAAAGAAACAATAAGTTTGTTTTTCCCCTTTCTAAATGTGAGAAAATCACCCATAATATTAGATTATGCATTCTTATATATGGAAAAAAAAGAATCTTACATGTACTATTAAAAAAAATTGTATGCAAGTATTCTATAAATGTAGGCTATTTTTGTAAACACAAAGTGCTTCTGTTATTTTAAACTTGTATTGTATATAAAACACAAGTGGGTGACCTTTGTGCTAAAATACAAACTAAGGTAAACAACTTTAAAGAGCACAAAAATATTATTAAAAGCAGACAGCTGTTTCAGATGCTCAAAGGGCAACCTTCATCAGTGCAACAGAACGAAATGAGAGAAAATAGGGTAAATACATAGAAAAAGGTGACCTATCCAGCGTTCCTTACCTTTCTCCTGTTTGGAAATCTATGATTAAACCTAACTAACTCCCCCACCTTTTTGTTCCTTGCTTCCCATTCGTCGTCATCCTTTCACCCTTCCCTCCTTTTGGCCGTTGCTCTAACCCCCTTGTGACGTCACCTTTTTCTATGTATTTACCCTATTTTCTCTCATTTCTTTCTGTTGCACTGATGAAGGTTGCCCTTTGAACATCAGAAACAGCTGTCTGCTTTTAATAATATTTTTGTGCTCTTTAACGTTGTTTACTCTAGTTTGTATTGTATATATTTGCTACTATTGAAAACTTCTTGCAGAAAGATAAATGCTAGGGTGATTTGTCCGTGAACACCCAAAAACATTCTGCCACACGGCTGTAAATAAAGCAAATTTATTTTTATGTCTACTAGGGAAAATGAGAAATATTTATTATATGCTATATATATATATATATATATATCATTTTTATTGTATGCATCTGAACATAATTTTGCATACTTGTTAGTTCTGACAGTTTATTATCTTTGAATAGATTATGAAAGACACAAATAGATCTTCCAATTTCTTCCAGTCAAATTGACTATATACCTAGATCTTTTCTGGTAGAAATACCACTGTTGATTTTAACATAAGGATTAAATAATCTAACATAATTTATTTTTTCATATAGATGGCTTTATTATGCAAAAGCTGCAATGAGAAGGCTTTTGATGTAGAGGTAAATATATATATATATTTTATCTTAATTTCTCTATTTCAGTTAACTTTGTGTTGTTGTGAAAATTTATATTCATTATTATAATTTTTTTTAAAATTTTATATGTATTTGTGCTGTTTAAGTTTAGGTTTAAACATTACTAAATTTTTATTGATATTTTTTTGTTGTTGATTTAAAGTTTTGCTGGCATGCCACTTTTCTGCTTTTTTTAGTCGGTTTCCATAACTGTTATAAAGCTCAAAACCTGATCATTTATGCTGGTGAATCAGCCATTAATTTATGAAAGAGATTGAATTATTTTTATTATTATTATTTTTGTACAATTTGTTGTTTCAGAATTTTTAGAACTTGAATAATATTTAAAAAATTTGATTAAATTTCCTTTTCATGAAATTTTAAGATCATATACTTCTGTACTCAGGGCTCCCACAGGTCGGGAAAAACCTGATATTGTCAGGGAATTTAACTTCAAGAGTCAGGGAATAGTCAAGGAAAATTGCAATTTTTTGCAAAAACCTGGAAAATTCCTTTAAGAATTATTAGAAACAGTAGTGAAAAGTATTTATTGAGATTCAAATTAAATAATTCTAACATCTATTACAATTATTTGTTATAAAAATATCACATTTTAGTCAAACTCGCATGTTTCTATCCTCATTAAATTATGTTCTTTTTGCTTATAAATATAATATTTGGCATCACAAATAAACATATCAGGTTATTTTGATCCAGGAGTTTCCTTGTCCTTTGGATTGGTTCAAAATTACAAGGCTACGAAGTTGAGCATTAGTAGTCATAAACCCAAAATTGGGTCGGCTGTTCAACACCAGTTATTAAAATAAAACATTGGAATCTGGGCTGTGGTGGCTCAAAGGATAGAGCATTCGCCTCCAAATGAAGCGAACTGGGTTTGAATCCCATCAGATACGAACTCCACACCAACCACAGTGCTGACGTAAAATATCATATCCTTAGTGGTAGACAGATCATGGGTTAGAATCCCCTTGCTGATAGACTAATCGTAGGAGGTTTTTCTCTCCATGTAACCCAAATGTTAGTTAGTTTAATCAAAATGTCCTCCACGATGGCAAATTTCTCCCAATACTTGATCCAAGAGTTTCCTTGTCTTCTGGATTGGGTTCAAAATGACAAGGCTACAGGGTTGAACATTGGTAGTCATAAACCATAAATTGGGTCAACTGTTCAATGACGGTTATAAAATAAAATAAAGCATTGAAACCTGAGGCTTTGCATTATATAGAATTTTGTGTTATCTAGATAATTTCACTTATGACTAAACTTACCTACTAAATATGGAAATATTAGTCAGAAACAGGCCTACCTTTAAATGCCTTAAAATAATTTTTAGATACAAATACATAAAAATACAAAATATGCACTTAAGTATTCATTATTTGCAGAAAAAATTGAAATTTTTTCCATCATTAGAACTTAAATAACAAACAAATTAACTGATTTTGGTTTCCTTAATTTTTAAAATTTTAACTTCTTAGAAAGTAATTAAACAAATAATGTAAAAAACAGACCTTTAAAAACACCTATCCCTTCTGTGTTTTGGTTTTTTTCAGGATTTATTGGATTTTTCAAAATAAATTTTTTTTTTACAAATTTTTTGTTCTTTATATTTGTGGAATAAAGTTTGCTGCGTTAATAATTACCATTGATTAAATTTGTGTTAATTTAGCTACGTTTTAAAAAAATCATTTGAAACTGTATAACACAATTTATAGATCTGGGATAGTAGTATTTAAAAAATATTTTTACAGATGAGTTTCTCCTTTCATTAGATTGTGATTCTAAAAATATTACATATTATATATTGTTATAACAACAGTTTCAAGTATAATGTATTTAATTAAAAAATTTAAAGCATGATAAAAAATAGAACTAATGAAAATATAAATATTTCAATGTTTGGAGTTTATTTTATTGTAAACTTAGATTTATTAATAAAATACAATCATAAAAAAATCAGCTTGAATTTTTTCAAAGGCTTTTTTACATGATTATTTCGGTAAAAACCTACCCAGGTTTTTCATAATGGATAAAATCATAACTCTGGCTAAAACTTAATAATTTTTACTTAGTTACAAAAATTTCTTAGCTACAAATTTCATTGTTTACACCCACAATGCTATTGTGGTTTATAGAATTGCATTTATAGATCTTTTACTATATAATGTTATTGTATGGAAACTAGCCTATGGATTGTATATTTCTGCAAAATAAGTTGAATGCAGCTATCAATATTATTTATCTTCTTTTTTATACAGGCTTACTTTTTAGAAAAAATTCTGGACTTTTAAATAAACTAATAGAACTTACTATATTCTTATTAAACTGATCTTTATTATTAATAGAGCAAATTACGAAGTTTAAAAAAAAGTGTGAGTTACTATCATTTTATAAATAGCTTTCAAACTTTTAAATCTTCCTTTCTTTCCTTTTTTTTTCAATTGAAATATATATTCTTTTTTTTTCCATCAGGAACAAGTTTGCAAGGCTTGTGGTATAGTTTGTGATGATATTCAATTTGGAATTGAATGCAATAAAGATTTATCTTTTAAACCTTTTCAATCTACGGCCTCCAGAAAACCTCGAGCAGAAGCCTTAAATCATGGAATTGATGCAGTGGATTTCTTGTGTCATCAGTTTAATATTACAGCAGATGTAAAAATGGAAACTTTAAATTTACTCAAAGAAATATATGCTAGTCGAAGAAAGGTTGGAAAATCTTTTAAAATGAAAGAAGACGTTGGTGTTTTGGCAGGCTGTTGTCTTTTAAATATACAGAGAAAACATAAACTTCCCGTGCCCATCAATGGTTTTTGTTCTTCGTTGAAATGCAATAAGAAAAAAATTTTAAAAATGACGAAAGTTCTTCAGAACTATTTAATTGATAACATATTATCTGAGGAAGAATCTGAAGATTATAATCAAGATATTTCTGTTGTGAATTCTAGTGTTGAGGATAATGAGTCATTAGAATCCTATACTGCTACTTTGCTATCTCATGCTCCAGAAGCTATTAAAAATGAGCTTATCCAAAAAACTACTACTCTAGCTAAACTGGCAGATTCATGCTGGCTTTTGACTGGAAGATCCAAATTAGGAGTCGTTAGTGCAGCTGCTTATCTCTGTTGGAAGTCTATGAATCCTAAAAATAAGTTGACTCTCCCTGGGTTTTGTAGAGAGTACTCTCTAAATGTGACAAAAGCACGTTCAAGAGTTCCTGAGTTGAAAGACATGCTTTTAAAACTTGGTGCTAATATACCTTCTAAAACTGCAAATTATGTCACTGATAAAAACATAATTTTCCACTTGGGATATATTTTGGAGAATTCAGAATCCTTACGAAATGATTTGTTATCTGATAAATTTACTACTGATGCAGTGAATCAAAAAGAATTTGAAACATTTCGCGACTGTTATAGCAAACCAAAGCCAGTCAAACTGCATGTTTCTTCTTATGCTGATGATATGAATGCATCTGACATTGAAATATCTGACACAGAAATTGCATCATATATCCGAACAGATAAGCAAATAAGTCTTGTTCAAGATCTCCGAAATATGTATGACTCTGATGAATCTCTTAGTGTCGATTAATTAGTGATCTAAACTTTGAACCAATATTCCATGTTTCACTTTTTAATTTTAATTTGTTTATTAATTTGAAATTCAGTAACTTTTGTTATTTAACTATTTAATTTTTTTTTATTTATACATATTTTCTACTTGTAAGCTATATGAATTTCTACTTGTAAACAATACACTTTAATTTTAAACTCAGTAACTTTTGTTACTTAACTGTCTAATTTTTTTTATTATTATTTATTTATGCATAATTTATTTGGTATTAATCTTTACTCTACTATTAAGAATAGTTCTGAGTAAGCCAGATTTTTTTTAATGTTTTTATTTAAAAGAAAACTTTAATTTAACCTGTATAAAAATAAGAAAGTAAAAGTACTATTTAAGTTTCTCCATGATATGTTTTAATAGCACAACTAATTCTACAATTTTTAAACAATATGTTTTGCAGATTTCTGATTTTTTGTTACTTAAATATTCTGTTCTGTATTTTTATATGCTATGTTTAGAAAGTAAAACGCTTACAGCCAAGAGTACATTACCTTAAAAAAAAAAAAGAGGTAATTTGTGACAAAATTCTTCGCTTCAACTTCAGAAGCAGTTCTGCATTGAAAAACATATGAAAATCAAATCAAGCTCTATTTTTTATATTTATATACTATTATTTTAGTATGTGTAGAGATGAAAGGTTTATCTATCTCAAGTAATAACCCCTTTTAAAATTCAGCTTAAAAGATTAATAACACAATCAAAAGTATTTTTGAAGAATCATATATTTTATACTAAAATTCAAATGAATATGATACTTCACAAACTGTTATTTAAGCTGACAAAATTTTAATTTTCCCCTTTCAGCTTATAACCTCCATTTGAAACTAGTCTTTAAATATTTATTAGCAGGTACAAAGTCAAAAATATTTTCAAATGATAATTTATTCATATTAATCCTAAAATAAACAAAATTTAAATCTGTATCACTGTGTAATCATTTGACTCATAGACTTATAATTAAACTTATGTCATTTTTTATAATTTCATTAGTAACTTAAAGGAAACTATCATAATTTAGAAGAAATACTTTTATTTTTATAAAATATAAAATTTTCTATCTTTGAAAATTTTAAAGTGTATGGTGTGACATATTAAAAAAAAACTGGCAGGGGTTGCTTGTCTATTTGATGAATATTTACTTGTATATGATTAACATCTAAATAAACATAAAGCTTATACTGTTAAGATTTAAGCTGACTGAAATTCTACTTCATCCTATACTTTATTTATGTGTAAATCGTACAACAGAGTTTTAAATTTATAAATGTTTATAATATGTTAAATGTTTATAATATGTAGAAGATATATCTATTCATATTAAAAAGCAAAAAGAAAGTATTATTTATTTAAGCAGTTAGTTAATTAGTAAAGTTAAGCAATAGGCATGTGTAATACTTAAAAAAAATTAGAATTCTGAGGGTTTTGGTTCCAGTCTAATATATTGTGCCATTTGGAAATATGGGTTGAAAATATTTAAAGAGAACTGGATTCTATAACTAGTTTAGAGTTTTTAAATATGAAACTAAACATTCATATACATTTTCCCTGTTTTCTTGCATCATTGTTAAAAGTTTCGTATTATGGTTTACTATAAACTTTAAAAAGAAAATATGATTATAGTCTCTCTTTTTTTTTTTTTTTGTATATTGATGTTAATGTTAAAAAATTTAAATAAGATATAATTGTTGACACTCTAGTTGAACTTGATGTGTATATTTTGTTGGTTATTGAGCATAATAAAAGCATAAATGCTTAATTTGTATTTTAGTTTATTTTACGTCTATTTGTCCAAATTATACAAAGATAAATTTATTAAAAACTTGAATTATCAAATTTTATTTTTTGAAGAAAATTCATATATTTTTTTATAATTTAAAATTTTCTGACTCATTAAAGAAAAATCTCTAAAAGTTATCTGTCACCTTCCGATTTTTAATATCTGAGTAAGATTTCTACTGTCATTCAGTTTGTTGAAGAATAAGAAGTTATCTATTTAGCCTTCACAAAATAAAACCTACAGCATTTAATTTTCCACTTAAAACAGGCTTTCTTTCTTTTTTTATTATTTATTTTTTCCTTACATTTCAGCTAGTTAACAATGATTGTTGTGCTAAAAGGAGAGTTTACTACCATTTTTTTAAAAAGGAATTTCTTTTAAATATTTTTATCCTGCATTTGCTGTAATTGATTATTTATCAATCTTTAATATATTTTTTTTTAATGTTACTTCAAGATCACCTTTGTGTAGTTTTTCTACATTTCATTTTTGTCCAGAATTTTAAAAAAAGTGGTGAACTCGCAGTTACGGAACAACCTTCATACAATTAAATTGCACAATAATATTAAAAAATGAGCAGCAAAAAGAATGCTGTTCCTCGTCCTGTTTAGTTCCCAGCACGTGATTTCATTAAATCACAATAATTTACTAATTTTGCTGTAAATAATCAATAAATAAATTTTAATAATAAACACGCTCAAAAAACTGTCTAAAGAAATTCCATACTTAATTTACTTTATGTTTTGTAAAATTATGAGAGCAAAGATGCTTTAAAAATATTATGGAATAAAACTAGAATATGGATTTTTTTAATTAAAATAAATAATAAATAAATTTTTAATAATCACAGTGAAAAAAAAAGCTGCCTTAAGAAATTCCGTATTTAATCTTCATGCTTTATAAAATCAATGCATCTTGTAAATAATAAACATTTTTTAAATAAACACACTAAAATTCTGTAAAAAAAAGTTCCTTTTTTTATTTATCTTATGTTTTATAAAATGGTGTTTACAAAAATGCTTAAAAATATTTTGAAATTACTCTAGAATATGATGCTAATAATATAAAACTGCATCATGACTATAAACTCCTATGTATAAAAAGATTATGTCAAGTAAGATGGATTAGTGTTGATGCCCTAACCTCTGATGGTAGAGAGAAGGAGGGGGGGGGATCACTTCTAAAGATGAAAACCTGTGCTCTCTGATGAAATGGAATTCTCCCAGATTTTTTTAGCTTAAGTAAAACTAAAGTGATTGCCAATAATTGTCTGATCTCGTCTTGTTTTTTTTTTTATTCTTTTTTATTTTCAATATTTGTTGTTAATTACTTATATGTACATGAATATTGTCTATAAATCATGATTATAATATATTACCTGATAAGTAAGCTAATTAAAATTTACAAAAAATATAAACATTTATTTGAATAAGTCAATGATTTTTTTCATTCAATCAATTCAAATGTTTAATAAAGTATATTTTCAATATTTAGTACAGTTGTTGAAATAAATTCTTAATATAGGTTATTTTAGTGTATGATGTAATAGTTTTGGTATGTCTACATTCTAGTCCATGCAACTCAGCATCAATTGAAAGAACGTTTCTAATTTTGGTATTCTTTCAAAATTGCAGGGTTGCCACAGGCGACTAAAATGCAACTATGGCCACTTTTTTTGCCTGAAAAGGCTAAAAAAGCAACTATTTTCAGGAAGAGGAGACTATTGGGAGACTTTTCTGTACTCCTAGCGATGTTTTTTTTAAAGCATAAATTGGGTTCAAAATCTGCTGCCCACGATAGCTTTTGAACACACTGAACTTTTGTTTCTTAAAAAATGTTTAAAATTTTGAATTGCAAATTTGAGTCTTCACTTTTTAATTCGTTCAACCTGCAGATTCCTTTGTAAGCCTATTTTGTTTCTCGGTCGCCTTTTCAATGGTTATTGCTTCGAAATTCCGCATGATTTAAAAAAAAACAATTTTTAATTTGACAAAACAATTTTTAAATTGACAAAAACGAATTTGAGTAATCACTTTTCACAATATATATGTGTGTGTGCATATATATATTTCATAGATAAATTATTGATTAAAGAGAAAATAGTGCTAGAACATTGAGGTTTATATAAAAATTATCATATTTGCCACCAACTTGACTAAATGGATCATGGTATATGACAATTAAGTAATTAACAAAATTTTAGTCATATTTTTGTTCTTATTTAGGCAACTATTTTCATGCTTTAGGCTACTAAAAGCAACTATTTCGTCCATTTTTTTCTGTGGCAACCCTGAAATTGAAAACTAAACTTAGAGGAGTACAGAGGGCTTCAAAACTGGTATTTTATAATTGCATGATTCAGGTTAAAGATGAAGGAGTTGAAATAGGAGTAAATGAAAATTGATTTTACACGTAACGAATAAGATACGATGTTCGAACAACGAGTAAATGAATTTGGCGTTTTTTAGAAAATGGCAGAAGTTACCTATTTAGCCTGAGTAACTCCAGTTAAAAGTTCGTCCAAATGGTCGTCAATTCAAAACCTATAATCAACATAATTTTTTTCTTCTGTTTTGTAAGGATTTTACTTATAATTTTGAACTTATTCTTTGGGTATTATAAGATTTTCGTTTAAATTTTTATGTATTTTAAACAGTCATTACCACTTTTTTTAATCGTAATAAAACATATCCAGTGAATGATCTTGAGGTGATAATAACCTTCGTCACAAGTTCTTTGTTGTAACCAGAGTTGGGTTTTTGCCGTCAAAAACTGGTTTTTGACATGACAGTGGTAAAAACCGTCAAAAACCTACTGTTTTCTTTCATTTATGGCATATAGCGGACAATATATTATTTTCACATAATTGCCTTTATAAATGAATGTTGTAAGTGATTGCTGTTGATTTTGCAACTATATACATGTATTCTTATAGAAGGATATACATTCATATAGAAATATTGTTATATACTTATTGAAAATAGTGATACTTTTATCATTATAGCTTGATTTGCAAACGATTCAAAATTTTGCACTTCTTAATTGTTAGAAATAAACAAACAAACAAAAAAGCTTGGAACCATTAATAAATTCAAGAACTAAAAAGAAGAATTTAAAATTTGGCATTTCTTAAATATTAGAAATAAGCGAAGCAAAACTTTCAAAACTTGTAACTACTAACAAACTCTAAGTCAAGAATGACTTGACATTCTTCAGTAATGTAATATGCAAAACAAAATGATGCTCGGAAATGTTGAAAATTTTGTTTAGTATCCTAATATTTTACTTCAAATAGTATGTTTTGATATAATCATGTTGGGGAAAATGCAAGAATTTGTTCTTAAATATCTTTTAACAACTTTTTTTCTAATTTTATTGCCCAAAAATGAATGAATTTTAAATTATAAGCAGTTAAACTCAAATAAAAATACAGTTTTACCAAAACTATGGGTTTTTGACAGAGGGGTTTTTAACATGACGGTAAAAACCATGGTATAAAGCGGTAAAAACCGTCATGTGTCAAAAACTTGCCAACCCTGGTTGTAACTATTCAAAAAGTAAAATATCTTGAACTGGCTGTTTTGAAATAAGTAATTATATAGAAAAATCAAATTTACATTGTATTTTCAAGATTATTTGATTGATCCTCATCTCATATAGTTTTCTTAAAGGTAGATCTGATGATGTTTGGAAATATTTTCTCAGAAAACTGGTTTATATACAAGCAAATGAAGTATCTTATCTGCTAGTTGAATGACAATATAAATTTTAAGAAAGCATAGTTTGTTGTTATTAAAGTTATACTTCTTATGCGACTTCCAACCAGGTTGCGTTAAACGTTTAACGCTACATTTTTATTGGCTGGGAAATCATTTGATAGGATCTAGTTTTCCCTCATTCATTTCCATATTGTTTTGGTTCTCACTAGCATAAAAATAATATAAGTCATAAAAGTATTGTTTTTCTATAAATATTTTTTTAGTTTGCTTTGATACACATATAATTTAATAGGGTAGTATTTTTTATTTTCAAATTTAGTGGATAGCAGTTGTAAAAAATGAGTGAAAACAATCCCACGGACAATGCGACGGATTTAAGGTTATGTCAAGGTACGTCTCTTGTGAATATCAATTGATTGTTAGGTTTTCTCTTTTGGAATTACATTATGACGCATTCACATACATTATTAATACAAATACATTTTCCATGGCGAGACGATGAGGCAACCACAAGCACTTCCATTGGTTCAAGAGGTCCACGAGGGAAAAATGCACAATATTGCCGTCATTACAGAGCACGGAAGCGAGCGGAGCAGGAAAAAGAGTCGTTGAATAGAACTAGTGATCCTTCTACGACTGCTGATTCTTCTACAATTAACGTCGCAGATTACGAAGTTTAACTTCTTCCGTGCGGAGGGTCTCCACGCACTATTTTTTTTATTTGTAAGGAAGGATGATTTTAAGTGAAGTATTTAAGAATACATTTTTAGATCCGTCCCTATAATGGAACTAACTGCAATAAAGAGTTTTTTTTTTTAAAAAAAAATACCTACCCTAATGATATTATTTTCTGTTTAAAAATAGATCAATTCCACTAACCATTGCAGTTTAACATTCCGTGTCTCAAAAAAAGAAAAAAAAAAATCATTATTTCAGTTATTTTGTACAAGATAATATCAGCAATATAAACAAAAGCGAAACGGATTTTTTTTTTATTTATTTATTTTTAGTATAGGATTTTAAGGCCATTTATGAATGGTGCATTTTTAGAACTGTCCATAGAAAGGATCTATTGTAATTGCACTAAAGAGTTCAAAAACTTTTTGAAACCATGAAGAGAAACTAACCTTAAAGAGTTTTTATTTAGTTTCTCTACAAGAAACTTGTCCGATTTCCTAATTTTCACTGACTTTCCTACAACATACTACAAACAATAAGTTTTTTTTTAAGCGTTTGTTTTATTTATTGAGTCTGTTTTTA